TTTGGACATACTGATTAATCTGCATTATAATGTACGATTGATTTAATCACCTTCCTTTATTGGCTAATGAAAATTTTTATTTTTGGTTTTTCTTTGGGTGCGGGCAATCACACATATCACTCATAAATACGCCCCTGGTATACACATTAAATTTTAATATTCTAATTATAATAATTATATTTATATTAAAGAATAATAACAAAAATCGTGAAAGGCTATATTACCAGGGATAATGTAAAAAATTTAATTTTGTTAAAAATATTAGTTACTGTGATTTAACGTTGAACACCATAGTTGTCATATTTGGATATCAATTTTTACAATAAACTCATAGACTTATACATCGTATATGAGATATATAAGATTCATAATACTGAGAAACTAATATACATTAATAATGAATTAAATAGAAAATTAAATCGTCATAAAAATTCATGGTCACAAACATATACGCAAAAATGAGTAAATGCTCATATTAACACTATGCACGTTGAAAAAATAAGGTCGTAAAACTGTGCAAACAGAACGAATTTAATTGATTTTTGTACGATACCTCATTGAGCGGGTCTGGTAAAAATTGTAGTATATTTATTAAAACATATACTAAATATTACATATATATGAATAAAGCAAAAATCATCTAGGGAATATTTCAATTTTAGGGTANGTAAAAATTGTAGTATATTTATTAAAATATATACTAAATATTACATATATATGAATAAAGCAAAAATCATCTAGGGAATATTTCAATTTTAGGATAAACTAAATAACCATTTATTAACACTTGTTTCAAATCAGCTCCCTACAATTCATTAATTACGCCCACCTCAGGGTTTCTATCATAATTAACCAATCTCAAATAATTATCCAACATTTCAGGAATTTTAATAAAGATCGCTGGCTTACTTTATCCAGCATATAAAAAGCCATTTTTTTTTATAAAAAAGGCGTCTGCGTTTTTGTCTATTTCTCTGGATCACTCCTCATTCTGAGCTGTAGCTCATGGTTAATATTTTCTTACATGAAATCTGCGTCAGTATAAGTAAATATTTTGTCCTTACGACTTAGTTTTTTTTCTCATACATCCTAAATGGTGGACATTGTTTTAGATGATTAATAGATATTTTACCCAGAAATAAGTTTTATTTATTTTTACTATTTTCTAATATCCTTACAAAAAATAAATATAGTTTATATTTTATATAAGTTTTGAATATTATTATGCCCTTAATTTCTGGACAGCCTTAAATGTGCCAAATACAGTGAAGAAGCGTACTTTGTGAGTAAAATTAATTAGTCTTAGTAGTAATAATTTTGCCTGTGTACTCGCCAGCCATAAAGAACTATGCCAATTACCTTCCGGTAACGTGAAGGCAGTATAGGTAAAGAGTAGTACTAAATTTATAAAAATAATATTTTTGAAGTGCGCTATATCTGTCGATAAAACAGTTCCAGAACTAGTAGTCCGGGTAGAGTTCAATATAAAATATAAAGTTCGTAAGGTAGGAAACTACATTTTGGAAATATCCTCTGCATGTGTACCTGCTATCCATAAAGGACTATACCAATTACCTTTCGGTAACGCGTAAGCAGTTGGCGTAAAGGATAGTAAAAGGTGTATTGAAATAATATTTAATATATATTAACGAGGTTAAGTGTGTCCTCGCCAGCCAAGGCTTTACGCTGAGAAACGATGGGCCACCACAGTCTTGTAAATTATATTTTGAATAGAGATAGACATATTCTTATAATTATATTTTAACAAGTTCAGAGTAAATTTTAAGGATATCGATATCGACTATAGGGAATTCATCGAAAATATTATTAGTAAAAACATAGTATAATATAAAAAGAATTTAAAAGGTATAAATAAATAACAAATCATAATAGACGCATGTACCATTGCAGAGAACATTTTTTTGAATCCAATATAAACACAAAGGCTAATTAATCCAAATAAACATAAGACCCTATAAACGATTTTTAACAATGAAGTAAGAAATCACCATAAGATTATGACAATCAACTACGTAAGGAAATAAAGGTAAGTGCGAATATTTATATTTTTTGGAAATTCTTTCAAAATTAAGCTCACCGATGTTATTACAATATATCTTATATAACATTTAATAATAATGTTTTATTAATTTATAAAAATCATACTTTTTTTTGATAAATTATTATTAAAAATAATAAATTTTAGTAGTTACCTCATTTGACAATATCAGCTTAATCAAATTACACATGCATAAAAACATGATATTTTTTGAAAACATTTTAACCATTTCGAATTTTTTTAAAGTCAACTTGTACGTTCTTATGATATTCTACAATTTTACTTTTATTTTTTATAATAATATGTGTAAACATGTTTTTTATTTTTTAACATGGTTTATTTTAAGATCAATAGAAAATAAATTATATTTAAATAGATATTTAGAGCACATATTTTTGCAATCTAATAATCATAAATATTATCACCGGGGATTGACAGCCGGTTATAGAAAGTGTACCGGAAATCATGTGAAAAAAAGAGGCACGATACGGGA